TAGTCTTTAAAAATAATTAACCAATCTTTCAAAGAAAAGCTTACTTTTCCCTCAGTTCCTTTTCTCTTTCAGCCAGTTTTTGCTTCAACTTTTGAACCTCCCTGCTTTCCATACACACCTATTAATCATAAATGTTAACTGTCAATACTCCATAGACAAAATATTTACTCTGAATACATGTTTACATAGAAATACACCATGGTATGACATATGTAATTACATCTCCACTGTTCAGCAAATTCAGTTCAGTGAGGGAGGAACATCTTGTTACCTGAGGGGATTTGATTTGGCTGCTGTGGGAGTCTGATGGTGATTCCCATAACAAAGAGGATTGTGATAAGCTGATAAACAGATAGAGTACATGATAAAGAGACAGATCACAGAATTTCATTTTGAGTATTTGCTGATGGTGCATTTTGAAAATGGAAAAACTCATCAAAATCCACTCACTCTGTCACTGTCTCTTTGTCCTGAGTCTGCATTGAGGGTTCACCACCTGCAATTACAAGGTCACAGCAGTTTAATGCACTCTTGTGTTTAAAGAATAAAATAATATTAATTCTCAGAAATTGGATGCTTGCTGTACTTAAAACCATAATCTTATTTAGAATATTTTTAAGGTTTAGGTGTCTGCTGGGAATTCACTATTACCCAGTGATAAAACTTAAGCCATTATATCCATCTTTGCTCTCTCCAAAGCCACCAGACTAAACAACATATAAACATATAAAAAAAAACATATATATATATAACATGGATCTTTTTTATACAAATATATGTATACAATATTTGCAAAATGTAGAAGAGTACAAGTAGCACAAAATGGAAATACTAAAGTAAAGTACAAGTACCTCAAGATTGTAATTAAATACAGCACTTGAGTAAATACTTTGTTACATTTACCTTTATCTTTATATCTCTTAAGAAGTGCCTGACTCCTGCTCCTTTCCAGCTCCAGCTCCTGTTTGCATGCGTCAAGCTCAACCCTCAGCAGTGAGTCAGATTCCTTCTGTTAAAAAGCATATAGTGTTAATAACCCATTTATATATCTACTGTATCTTTAACAATTAGATCATCTTAGTGCCCAGTGCCTGAGTAAGAAAATGCTCAAGCATTAGCTTTTCAGGGATACGCTACCTTGGCTCTGGTCAGCACTGCCTCCATATTAGCTTGGTGCTGCAGCAGATTCTCCATTTCTTCTCTATAGGCAGGTAAAAATATATTACTAAAACAAGACATGTGTGATTTAGACAGTCATTAGTGTAATTAGTGATTTACAATATTGACTCACTTGTCTTTCTGGGCCTCTTTAAGTTTTTCAGTCTCATTTGCCAGATGGTCAGCTTCTGCTTTTAGCTGAAATCAGATTTTAACTTTTTAATTTTGTTGCATGCACTTTTGTGGTATAAACTTATTTTCAAGGGAATGGTAGAAGAATATAGCCTAACTTCATTTCTGGAGTTATTCTTTTTGAGTTCCTTTAGCTCCTCCTGTGTGGACTGCAGGGTCAAAGCCACCTTTTGCCATTTCTCTCTCCAGTGTGATGCCACAGCTTTCAGTTCCTCAATGCTCTGGACTCTCACAGCATCTTGTTTCTGATACTCTTCATCCTGCAGGTGTAGCTTCTCGTCCTCCTCAAGGACCCGAGCCTCCAAACACTGGCACTGATCTTGCAGTTTCAGTTTTTCTAATTCCAAAACTTCCACAGATTCTCTGGGAACACAGTTTGAGTGTATCATTAAAGAGGGGCAATTATAATACACTGCATAGCTGATAAGTTAATCTTCAAATATGGAAACATTTTGTCACCATCACACCTGAGCTGGCAGCACTTTTCTTTCATCTCTGTTAGCTCCTCATGTCGACCTTCATTTATTTTACTCAACAGTTCCTCTTTTTCTCTGATCAGCTGAGAGCATTCTGCCTCCAGATCTGTGATTTGTTTGGAGCTGATGACCCTCTCTGCTGTTATCTCCTGTAGCTGAGACTGTGATGTTTTCAGTTTCTGCTTAATCATTTCCAGCTCACACGTCAGCTTCTCATTTACCTGTATAAAGACACAACAGGGATCATTTAATAAAAATTCTGAAAAAAAAAATCAAAAAGCAGATCTTCTTTCTCCTATACAAGACACGAGACATTGACGTTGTAGTTAAAGATCATTTATGTTACCTGGTTCAGGGGATCTTTGTCAGACAGAGGAGGCGCTGTCAGTTTGGCCTTCAGTTCTTTTATATCATCCTCCAGCTTTATCACTTGAGTCGACAAGATTGCCTTTTCCTTATAAGAAATAAAAACAATTTTCACTTTGTAATTTCTATTGTAAAATTGTGCAATATAGGATGAGGTAATAGTGAATCACAGACAGGAAAACTGACCAAACATGCTTGGCTGATCTTGTTGTTAGCTTCCCTCAGTTGTTCTTGCACTTCAGAGTGATCCTGTCTTGTGTGGCTAAACCTTTGATTCATCTCTTCTATTTGATTCAACAGCGCCCCCTGTGTCTAGGTACACAGAAGATAAAATACACACAGCCTAAAGATGTGAATATAAAAGAAAATGACATTACAACAAAATGTTGGTATTTCCCTTTATTTTCAAACTGACCTCTGTAGACGTCTGGAGTTTCTGGAGAGCCTGGTTTCGTTCTTCTTCGTGTGTCTTTGCCCTGGCCTCAGCATCTCTCAGAGCCTGTCTCAGCTTACACAGCTCTGTGTCAACATTCTGGCTCTCCTGAATTAAAGCCATGTGTAAAAGCAATGTGGCAAACAGAAATACAGAATACTACACTATTCAGAACCAAAATTTATTTTCATAAGACATAAAGCTTACACACCTGTCTGCTAAAGTCATCTTGACTCATTGGTAATGTTCTGCTAGGCGAGCCAGAAGTTATTTCGGTTGGTTGATCACTGCTTCCTCTGTCCAAAGTAGACCTCATTTGCAACAGGTCCTTCTCCAGCTGTAGGACCCTTGTGAGTGAATTTCATATGAGGAATTTCAATCTTTTCTAAGGTCTTTCAGATTTTCCTTTCTGTGTCTTTTCCTGCACTTACTTTTCATGAAGCTCTCCACTTTGCCGGCTCTTTTCAAATTGGGATAATTCAGCGGCCTCTTTCTCCTGCTCAAGAGCATTCATCGCTTCTGACTGCTGCTGTGAAACACATCAACATAACAGGATGCAACTAAAACACATACCAAAACCCCTATCCGAAGCAGAAAAACTATAAAACCACCTCTGTTACCAAAACAACCAGTGGCAAGGAGGGAGAAAAATTAAAAAAGGTAGATCATATAATTTGTTTACATATTTACTTGTTTTACTTTGTATAGATTTACTTTTTCTTACCTTATGTTTCATGTCAAGCAGTTGTGCAGTAGCTATACTGTAGCTCAGCTGTGAATTTCTGGTCCTCAGGCGGTCCAGCTGAGTGTCCAGACGCCCATGAGCATCCTGCAGCCATTGCCCCACTTCTGCTTCTCTAAAGCTACTAGCACCTCGGGCAGCCCTTAATTCAGCCCCTGGAGATGGAGGAAAGGATCGCGTGGGATTTGGTGCCAGATGAGACAATGACTGCCACTTCCTTAGACCTGGGTCATTCTGCCTGAAGCCACTGGTGCTCCCAGATGTGCTGGAATACATACAGTGTATCAGTCAGAATTTATTCCACCACCCTGACCTGAAAATGAATATTACTTTGTCACTATTGCTTAAAAACTGTATAATCCCCTCACCTTGTGTTAACTTTGGACAGAAACCCTGTCCCAGAGACAGTTGCCATACCACACCATGCTGAGGTCTAAGAAACAAAAACACTCATTTGTAAAATGCTTAGATCAACATGTTCTACAACAAAAAGACTATACATGGCTCTTACCTGGGCTGTAAAGCGAGATTTGGTGTCCCACATGTCGAGGTCCGTGAGAGAAAATGGACTTGAACTTCTGCACGAAGGTCCAAACATGTTGAAGTGTCTTCCTAGATCCAAGCTATGACTTCCCATTGAATGGGAGAGGCTGCAGTCCTTATCTCCCAATGTCAAGCGACAGGGATAGATTTTCTCACAGAGGTGGCAGCTTGAGGTGTGTGGCTATTCTTGGATCATGTGTCTTGATATTTCCACTGCTTGCTTGATGATCAACAACTAGTTTTAACACTGCATGACGATGACAGTCTGTGATCTACAGTATCATTTAATATTATTATAAATTTGTTATTGACACAATTTTCCATATCTATCTAGGAAAATGTGAGATAAGAAAAGAAACACAACATATTCTAATGCACAACATGACACTTTTCTTACGGTACCTTGCTGCAGAAACCCTCATGCTCACTTGATCTGCTTGTAAGCCTCACACAGCTTTGATTGCAAGCTGCTCAGTAGTCCTTGAACTGAGTTTCCATGGTAACCCATGTACACAGGACGCAGTGGGGTGGGTGTGGGATGTGTTAATACTTCTGGGATAGTCTCCACATGATCTCACACAGTTTGCTAACTGGCTGTTTGGTGACAGGGGTTGTTAAGAACTCGTGAACTATAAACAGTGTCCCTAATATGCATAGCTTACCTCTTATTAATTATTTATGACAGTGACATGTACCAGGGGATGATTATGATTAGCTTTAGGAACACACAGAGAAAACAATTCTTTATAATTGTGTGTGTAAAAGTGTTTTTTTTTTTTTTTAGCTACAGTGATGAGCAAGCATGATGAATTGCATGCTATTACTCTCCAGCTCAGTGTGAAATATTGCACACCACTGACTAAATCCAAAGTTATTCCTTTGCATATGCCAGTCAGACATTATTCAGCTCTATGTTTCAGAAATAGTGTACACCCTAATTATATGTGTGTATGTTCATACACGATACATTTTTTTTAGGATTTAAAATGTCTCATGGCGACCAAAAGTCGCAATATGTCAGGATTTCGCTCATTTTCACGTTTAAGCTCTTATTTTGAAAGATGTCTTATACCGGAAGCCGGACGTCGTCATCCTCAAGCTAGCAGCAGAAGTAGCTTTTGACCATTCAAGAAGCTAGCAGTTTAAAGGCGCAATCATTTTCCTTTCAGCACTTAATTTGAAACTTTCACTCATTTGTGTTTTTGAAAGTCGAGCTTCGTATTCATTCCGGAGAGGTACACCACTTTAAACCCAGGACTTTAGTCAAATACAGTGTTTATGTTTTGAAATTAACGCTAGTTAGGTAGGAACTTCATAACAGGCCAATGCTAGTCAGTTAGCACAACTATTCACTAACATTAAGCAATTAGTAGTTATGATGTCCTGAGCTTATTCATTTTCAAGGTTTGTGTCTACTACAAAGCTTCTCTGTCAAGTAGCGCTGAATAGTTAAATGGAAACTTGTGTTGTTTATCATTGTGCAGTTATGGCTGCGGATTGGTTGGGGAGCTTGGTGTCAATTAACTGTGGGCCAACACTGGGAGTCTATCAAGGAGAGGTGGTGTCTGTGGACCAATCCAGCCAAACCATCTCCTTAAGACAACCGTTTCATAACGGAGTCAAGTGCTCTATTCCCGAGGTGACATTCAGGTAAAGCTCAGACACCAATTGGTTGCTCATTTTCTATTTTTCACAGCTTTTTTGGTTCTTTTTGTCACTAAATATAGTATTTTACCTTTTTTTTCTGCAGTGCCATAGACATAAAAGAGCTTAAGATTTTAGATATCAGAAATGGCAATGCTAGGAACAGCTCTTCTGCATCTACGAAGGTAAGCAGTGCTCCAGTTTCAGTACCAAAGGGTGACCCCAGGTGTGTGGAGAAACTGAACTCTCCTCAGCACTGCTCTAAAAGCTATGGAGAACGTCATCTGGATGTTCCCGGCCAGCCAAAAGCATTTCGTCGGAGACACAACTCCTGTAAGTGCAATGTAGTACAACTCGGTCAGAGAGACAAATTACTGATTGTTGCTGTGTTGAGATTTACTCTGTTTTCCCCCAATCAGGGTCGTCTAGTAGTCGAGGGGCAAACCAAGTGACACCGAAGAAGAATGGGGTGAAGAATGGTCAGATGAAGCCCAGAGATGATGAGTGTTTTGGGGATGGCATGGATGATGGGCTGGATACAGACTTTGATTTTGAAGGAAACTTGGCTCTTTTCGACAAAGCAGCAGTTTTTTCAGAAATCGACATATCGGAGCGCCGTAATGGCGCAAGATCACGTGGGACGCCTCAAGAGCAGACGCCATCACGGTATCGTCATGATGAAAACATCCTGGAGGCCAAACCTATTGTGTACAGACAGATTACTGTACCGCAGCCAGGGGCCAAAGAGTACTGCACTGGTAGGTGGTTCCCATTGTAATGAAACAAATGGTAGTGAGGGTAAATGATCTAAAGTAGACTGTTATATACTTATCCTTTTTTCCATACAGACTCTGGGCTTGTTGTACCCAGTGTATCCTATGAACTACACAAGCGTCTGTTGTCAGTCGCTGAGCGTCACGGTCTCTCACTGGAACGAAGACTTGAGATGACTGGAGTGTGTGCCAGTCAGATGGCACTTACGTTGTTGGGTGGACCGAACAGGTAAGCATGTAATGATGGTTTGTAAGCATAGAAATGAGTTAGTTAGTGGCTAAGTGTTGTTAGCAATGTACATTATCGGCTGTAACAAAAGTCAAAATGATTGTTTTCATTGAAGATCCCGAGTCTTCAGTATTTATAAGCTGTTAAGAAATAATAAGAAAAGAAATTGAATGAAATAACGTCACAATATTGAGCAGAGTTTTGAAAATATATTGTATTATTTCATATTTTGTCTTCATTTATTCATATAATTATTTGTTAATGGCATTATTATTATACTAGTAACAGTAAACAAAATTCACAGTTCAGTATGTAACTCAGTTTTGGTTTCATGGTTCGGTACGTTTTGGGTACAGGGCAAAAATTTAGAAAGCATTCATTTATTTTGAAAAAATGTAAGCCTTCAACACTGGCTCCTTGGCCAGATTTCTGGATGTTTGGCACTTATATACTGGCATGTAGGCAATAAGAATAAAGTACAAATGTCAGTAATGCTCCATCCTGACCTGATGAAAATTCATGAACAGCTGCAGTTTGTGCTTGTTTATACAGGGCTGGCACAGTAAACTGACTATAATGTGACCATGTGCTTAAATCCTGTGTTCTGTATGACCGAGTATGGTCGCATGTCTGCAATGATAAACACTCCTGTAGCATTATTTATTGCTTTGGCTCAGTCTGAATCTGCAGCGAGAGGCTGGCTGGACGCTGTGGGGAGAAGGACTTGCCTTCCGGTCTGTCTTTGTTTCATCCTGCTAATCGGCACATTTGGGTGATGCCGTCGTAATTGACATGTTTGCACAGACATACTCAACTTCAGTTGAACCATGTCGGCACACAGTTTGTTGGACACTAATCTTTGTCCATTTCAGCTGTAACTAACTGGGAAACTGAAATGGTCTCATACAGTAATATGAGTAAAACTCACACACTCTAATTTCTGTTCCGCGTGTGTGAGTAGGATACATAAATAGACTATTTTAAGTAACTGTTTGGGTCAGTGGGCGTACCGAACCAAGGAAATTGTGCACCAAACTAAAGGTCCTGTACCGAATTGTTCGGGACAAATACACATGCCGTTAACCCTACACACTACTGAAACCTGTTGTTTTATATGCCAAACATTACATCAGGAAAGCAACTTAGTTCCTTTTTCATGTTCCCTACAGATTCACTCCAAAGAATCTACACCAGCGTCCCACAGTGGCTCTGCTTTGTGGCCCCCATGTTCAGGGAGCTCAGGGCATCAGTTGTGGTCGTCACCTGGCCAATCACGAAGTCGAGGTCATCTTGTTTCTGCCCAATTTCGTCAAGATGCTCGACTCAGTCACCAGTGAGCTCACACTCTTCAACAAGACTGGTGGCAAACAGGTGTCAAGTATCAAAGGTGAGCATACGATATTTTTCTGCTTTTTAATTTTTACATTTTGCATTGTAGATGGTCAGGTCAGGCTACATACCTTGAGATTTTACAGTTTTTTCCCTCTGACTCCACAGATCTTCCTGACACCCCAGTAGATCTAATCATCAACTGTCTGGACTGCCACGAGAACACATTCCTGATGGATCAGCCTTGGTACCGAGCCGCCGCAGACTGGGCTAACCAGAACCGAGCACCAGTGCTCAGCTTAGACCCTCCGGGTAGTGGACAGGGGCAGGCGGTCGAGGCCAAGTGGTCCCTCTCTCTTTGCCTCCCCCTTTCCCTAGCTGAGGGGGCTGGCAGGGTTTACCTTTGTGACATAGGTATCCCTCGCCAGGTGTTCCAGGAAGTGGGAATCAAGTACCATTCTCCTTTTGGCTGCAAATTTGTCATTCCCTTGCACTCTGCGTAATGTGACGAATGGTCAACATGACAGATTGAATCTTTCACCCTCCATGACCATTTGGGTTTTGGCGCCTTACTGTATATTCCAGAGCTTCAGCTGTTTTTCAGTTCATCCATTAACTTTCTAACCCATCAACATGTGAATGGGACTTCCTACTGTTTGGTACATTAGTTCCACAAGGACTTAGTGCACGTAGATAGGATAGGAAAGAGCTTTACTGAAAAAGTAAATGTGTTGTCCATTAGAGGCTTCAGCAATTATGTAGATACCATTGTATTTACGTGATATTGCAGTGTATTTGGAGAATAGGTTTTCAAAAATACAGCTGACGTGTCAAAAATAATACCACATAGTGTTCAGTTTAAAATTGAATAGGACAATCTCCAACTTTAAATGGAAAAATTCTCAATGTCACTGTAACCTCATTCCAAAGCCATCTGGTAAATAAACAGAGATCCACAATATAATACAGGCAAGTGCGATGTTATTACATACAAAAATCCATCAATCTGTATATCAGTGTTACCATTGCTAATGGCTTTCCTTATAGCCTGCCATACTGTGCAGCACTCAGTTACTGTTGCCTGATTTTTTTTATTATTTTTATCATTATTTGTCATTTATGTGAGCTGTGTTTTCAAACTAAGCCAGTGCTGAATAGGGCAGCTAATCGAGAGAATCCAGATATTCGCAGTTTTGTTTGTCATGTTAAGGGCTTTGATGAAGATGACACAGCATGCAAAACCTCTAGCGATCTTGCCTCTAAGAGGGGAAAAAAAAAGGTTTGCTAACAAAAGTTTGGTATAATAGAGAGCTGAAGTCATAACGTCACATCCAGGCCAGCCTGTAGTTTCTGTAACTCAATGCAATTTCTTAATGAAGCATGTTTCTGGAGTTTTATCTAGTACCACAGTTGGTAAAAGAAATTTAAACCTTTGTGACGAAATTGAACAATGATTACGAGGTTAGGAAAGGAAAACAAAATGACAGCCCCTAAAAGAAAAACTACAAACATGGCAGCGCGGGTATGTGCGTCATCATAACTTGTTTTCGTCCATATCCATAAAATGTAGGAGGCTTATGGGAAATGGTGTTTGTCAAAGGTTGCTAAAAAACAAATATTGAGTTGAGTTGAACATTGACAGGACAAGATATTTATTTATTAGCATTGTTACAAATATCAGTGAGGTTTTGAATGAGGTTTTCTTACTCCTGGAGCAGAGCATGGACGTTCAGGTTTCACTTCAGCTCTCTATTGTATCAGTTAAAGGACCATACCATAGTGTTTGCAAGTCTTAGCTCTTTAACTACTATCATGCATAATTAACATTTGTTCTGACCTGTTTTACATGCAGACTACAGTTTAAAATGTTTTGATATGTGTTGCTCTTGGTATCCAATTGCTATACAATATCAAAATCAATTGACAAACTCTAACAACTTTGTTATGTTGTGTAATGTTTCACAGCAAACATCCAATCTGTTTTGTTCAGTGTCACGTAATTTTTGATATGTAGTTTAATCACAGACTTCAAAAGTCTGCACTGCTTTACACCAACAAAAACTAATGCTTACTTGACATTGTCTGTGATTGACAAAAGTTTTCAAGAGAGTAGATTTTTCATGTTGTATGAGAATAAGTACAATACAACGGAAGGCAAAAAGCATCTGAATCTATAAAACACAGTAGCACGGGCTGCTGAGGGTTGGTTGTGGTGTAAAGTTTAAGTGATTTGTAATAGATTAGCTAAAAAAAAAACATGGGTATGGTCCTTTTTTAGGTTTCAAGCCACATGATTGAATTTTAACCTTGTCGGTTCAAATGTTGACAGCTTTTCAAAGATCAAAGACGTGTCGGTTAGTAGCATTTTCTAAAGTATAAATGCTCTGTATATGTGGAATACATTTAGGTTGAATTGTTTTATTTTAAACTTAAAATCAACATGCAGAATCCTGCCCTCTCTGAACTAATTAGATCGGGTCTTTGTGATGAGAATTTTTCTTTTGTTGCCTCCTGATGTTATGGGGTAAGCCTGTTTATGTACTCGATCGTTGGTGGTATTAACCATGAAACTAAAGCATAGACTGTGAAATACAAGAAGAGCTGCTTGTTCTGTGCTTCTTGAGTCCTTGACAGAGGGGCTGTAGGCCTCTCTACTGCCAGATCTGTTTGACAGTGAAAGTCAAACCCTTTGCTTGTTCTTTAACAAGATCACGTTCACTTAAAATGTCTTTTTCAGTCTTTTGTGTCATTGAGGTGAAGTCTAGAAAATTCTGAATTGCAGTTGCGGAGGTTACAAATCATCCAGGGCTGTGTCTCATGGTGTGGTATTGTCTCCACATGTGAACTTAAGTCTCAGATTTGCATTATATGTGTGGATTGTTCTCTGTGCACATTAGCCAGCACAGGGTTCATATGCTGATTGTGTGAAAATGACATTCACACACAAAGGTTTTGTCCTTTCTCCAACATTCCTCCAGCCTGATGTGTTATGTCTCATCTGTTGAGACAAGTCTGCCTGTGACAGCCAGCGTTACTGAATGTGAACAGAAGATGCGTTTTGTTTCTCTTTGGCCGCCAGGGGGCCACGAACCCACAGTTCTGGTGGCTCTTCCTTATTCTGCTGAAATGGCAGCGTTATGTACTGAACACTATTTCCTCAAAGGAGGAGTGTTATTTTCTCTACGAAATGTGAAACAGCCTGAAGCCGAGTGGCTTCTCTTTTGTAGGTTTAAGGGGGAGTTAAATTGTTATAAAAAAACCAAACAAAAAAACAACGCTGGTTATGTTTCTTGGGAATTAGTTTACATGTTTCAAATGTGGATGTTAAGTCCATGCAAAATCAGTGTGCAGTTGACATACAATTGCAATAAATAATCAGTGGGCGGTCGAGATAACTGTTTCCTTTGGGAGCGAAGTTCACTGTCAGTGTGTCAGTGTCCAGTCCTCCTGTGTCATGTCTGCAGATTGAAACAATAATAAAAAATAAAACAAACTTTCACCATTGCTTTTTCTTTGTGGACTTTTTAAGTTTTTGTTGTTGTTGTAAACACCGATGGTCAAATTCCTTCACCAGCGTCACTCAAATAGATCCAGTGATCCATTTTTAGCCCCGACTAGTTTGCCATTAACGCGCATGTGCAGTGAAAAATCAAGGTGGGGCAAAAGAAAGTTGAATGTTTCTGACGGAGTAAAGGAGTGGGGCAGTGTGAGGGAGACGCAAATTAGTTAGCAGTTATTTTAAACGCTGCACTTTTCTATCCAGCTGAGTTCTCACGGGGGGGTTCTTTTTTCTTTTCCCTCACTCCCTTTGCTCTTCCCATCGAGCCCGCACTGATAAGTTTGTAGAAAAAGTTACTTTGTCTTTTTTTTTTATCATCACACAAGGCTGATTTTATTTATTGTTTGTTTCAAAGGATGTTGACAGGAGACGCACCGACAGCAGTCTCGGCTGGTTTTACTGAGCTACTTTAGGACTGCTGAAGTTTCGTGTCACCTGAGAGAGAAGTCACTTCCTCATTGATGCGTTTTTAACCTCAACTGTCGGTTGTTTATTTCGTGAATGGGAGTTTTTTTGTCTGCTGTCGCTCAGATGAGAAAGGACGTCGGGAAGTAGCCGAATCACCTGTTTATTGTCTCGTTTTCTGCCTGCAAACAGGTAAGCGTTTTATTGTGAGCCCGGAGCTTTTGGTTGTTATGTTGTGTTGTATATTTGTGTAAAGCCAATGAGCTGCAGGGCCTATCAGCTGGTGCACTTACAGTGTAACACTGACACCTCTGATCATGTTGCTTATCAGAGAGCATTGGGCTTCACAATCAAGCTTTTATCTCCAGCCCTATTTCCATTTGTGTAATGCACCCAGCTCCAAGTGCTTTACAGTAAAACCAAAATAGACTTGATAAATGTGTGCTTTCGAGACAGACTTAACCTTTTTAACATCCTCCTCCTCCTCCTCC